TTATATATTATNTTATATTATAATTATTATAATTAATTNTTAATATTAATATTATATATTATATATATTATATATATATNTATATATATATATATATNTATTAATTCATATGTATATTCGATTCATATGTATATACACATAGTACGTGAGTATGCATGAATATTTGTCTATGTTTTTTGTATGTCTCGAGTAAAGTAGAAGTTATGCCCAAACATCAGTATACGAAATATATTTATCCATTAGTATATGAATGACGGGTTGCTCCGTTTGCATCGGCAGGACATGTCCACGGTCTTTTATGTTGACAACGTACGAAATTTTCTTTTTAGGCTGCTTTGTTATGGTCTGATTCTGTTGTACTTAACGCGGAGTGTGCTCAAGCACATTAATGGGATAATAGAGCGAATTACTTGCTTGTTTTTTAAATCGTTTATGTGGTCATATTGATAGTATTTATATGGATGGTTCGTTTTACATATTTGGTGTATTACTTCGCTGTATACACATCGTAATGGTTTGCTCTACTAGACCTTGCGCGCGCGTGTACGCAGTATCTTTTGTATGTGCGTGATTTCTATCCTTTCTTGTATGTACCTATTCGCGAGGTGTATATACTGGGACAATCTCGCCGCAGTTCAAATTCTATCTGCTCTACGTCCTGTAAATCAAGTGGCTTAGGTTGGTCGAAACCACCACAATTATGAATCGTGTTTCAGTACAATGTGCACACTTTCTTTTTATATACAATATGTCCACACCAAGCACTATACGCCACATCAATCAAAGCCTGCTCGTTCATCACTCAATATCTTGCTCTTGCAGCTCGGAGCGGCATATAGTGGTCGCGTAGGCGCTATCGAAAATTGCATCAAAATAGCCGAGGCAAAAGTGGACTCCTTACGCGCTGCTCGATCTAAGGATCGCGACAACAGTTTGCTTGCGGAAGAAATATCAGAAAAGCAGGGCAACGTATGTGGTGGGAACACGCGGGTTTGGATTCAAAAAATGAGAATACGAATTCATCTATCTGCATGGTATCTTCGTGGCTCTGTTGGCGTAGTTTTAAACATAAGTGTCTAATTTTGGTTCACTTTCTTTCCGGAAGTTGTGTCGCTTCGTCGTGTGCATTTTTTTTGTCGCGCACACCGCTTACGTTCAAGCACACGGTATATGTCCACTCTACTGGCTCATACTTCGCCCCCTTTTTAAATTCCAGCTTCGAATGATGCAAAACGAGCTTAATTATGAGAGAGTAATTCAAGAGCGATCGATGAAGGTCTTTAAGGAGAGATGCGACAGTTTCGATGCCCCCGGCGTATAGGGTTTGGTAGTCTTTAAAGAATTATTGTGCGTCGCCGGATAATTGGTCGCGTTCAAATCGTGGTTCGTGTGAATTGCAAGTGTACACATAGGAAGATATATATAAACGTAGAATAATCAGAAATTTAAGAAATTACATTAGCTAAGGTATTCTAGTTCCTACATAGAAGTGAAGAGGAGATTAAGTGAGGTTCAAGGCTGTTTGCATTTTAACAAAATCTTCTATTAATGGACCTGTGGCGTTGTTCTTTACGGTTTTTAGGAGTTTAGGGTTGACTTATTTTTTAATCATATCGTACATAGCCTTCTTGTTTCTTTTAGAAGGCTATGTATCGTATGTAATTATTTTAGGAGGCTATTATGTATCAGCATCCTAAATCGTTCTATATCTTAGGAGGCTATGATCATATGGGTAGGCAGAATTCTTTACTAGGTAGTTGGAATGCCTGTTTTTTTTAAGGGCTGTGGAATGCCTAAATACTGTTAGCCGTCGCCCGCCCATCCGTCGCCCGTCAGCTTTCTCTGGGGTAAATACGTTGTAAATACAGGTGGTCGGGGTTACATTGTTTTAAAAAAAAATTCAAAATGAATAATAGAAAAGTTATTTAAGTAAATAATAAAATCTTTTCCATCAAGTTCCACGTTGCGTTATTCTTTTATTCTAACTTCCGCTTATATTCTCTTGATATCATGATATAATGACAGTGAATGGGGTGACATACAAAGCGGCGTCTGAGCGAATCTTCATTATTGTCTGCCTTAAATACACCTAAATATATATGTATATATATGTTCACATTGAATACTTGCTTTTTATTTTTGTAGATATAAAGTGAAGAAATTAATAAGTTGTCGAGAAGAGATAAAATATCCGTCTATCATATATATATATATGGAGTTTACTACTGAGCATAGAAAAACTGTGCGTGTCCGCCAGTGGATGTATCTGGTGTGTCGATACTGCGTATATATATATTTATATATATATATTCGATACGACAGTGCACTTGAAATGGTTTGCTTATATCCTTGTACGTGGCAAAAAATAGGTGATTCGCCATCGTTTATATAGCTTCACTTATTTTGAGGCATGGCTAGATAGTTACATCTCAAATTATCGACAATTGTGTTTTGCTTAGGGATTGATGCTAGCCGCTCCTCTGCCACACATTGGAGTCACATCGTATCGGTTGGCTAAAACTGATCATGGCAAAGCTTTGGTGATCGGCGTCGGCATCCTGGGTACCACCGCCCTGTCCTTAGGTATCGATTCTAGCTTCTCACTGGGTCAATAGAATTGTGTAGATACGATAGAGTGATTTTTTTCCTCAAAATGTGTTCCTGGATTCGAACAATGTTTTCGCTAGAGTAGTATTGAGTTATGAGTACTGTCTTGTGCTTCCCTTCGCCGTTTAATGCGATCACAGGGATTTGTCGGTTTTTGACAGAATTATATCGTTCACGGAGTCGTTTGGACAGTAGATGCAAGCTAGCTAGACTCTCAATAATATTCAGCCCACAGCACAATGTTTTTAAGGGCAAACCGCCAACCAGATAGTTTGTCAGTAGACCAATGCTCAGATACTACCGTAAGGTAGTTGTATAGAAGCAAGCCGCTGATTCTTTGGATTTGCTAATTGATCAATACTCATCATCACGTACTTTGTGTATTAATAGGAATGCGGGGCTACCTGATGTATCACGCGGGCTACGCAGGTGGCTCGGGAATGAACAATCTGTCCGAGGATCAGGTATGCTCATGGAAAGAGCCATATTGGGGGAATTGAGTCCAACTGGATTTTTTTTGTTGGGATTTTATACGTTTGAATTGAATATATATTTCATGTCACGTATGGTTAATAATTAAACCTGTCCATTACAGGTGAGGAAACGCATGGCAACAGTCTCCACTGAAGAAGGTAGCCAGATTGAAAATCCCTCTGCGAATGCAGTATTGAAAGAAGCTCTCAAGGGCTTTGGGTAGCTCTACAGCCATGTAGGGGTGTAACATAAGATGGTAGCTACCAGCTACGAGCTTTGTCACCCTGATACGGGAGAGTCGAGTAGAATATAAGATGATTCGTGTGTGTTTGAAGTAATGAACCGCACATGAATTTATACCTAGTTGAAGCTAATTAGTGTATTCTAGTAGAATACGGGCTCTCTATCAGGCAGAATTCTGCTAGACCACCTGCGAGCCTATCAGCTCCAAATTTGAATACAAGGGAGACGCGGCTGAGAAAGGAAGAGAGAAAGCTCGAAAATGACATCAGATTTCTCGGCACATTACAAGCGTGCGAAGTCACCTGCGCAAGACCAGAGATGGTTTCTAGACTGGAAGTACGTGTGTGGATATGGATCTACGGAAACCAATGCGAGATAGCAACCTTCATGACAATTCAAACTAATAATTTAATTGAAACTATAAAAGTACATAGATAGAGCAGAGCTTGGCAGTGTCTTGTTACATACTGTGTTCAGTCTTTATTTAGATGAGCACGGTAAGTCTATCAAAAAGCAAGGTGAGCATTCAAATAATTTCAAAGTCGAAGCTCGTGGCTTACTATTGTGTATCCTGCTACATATGCTTCGACAAAGAGTGATTGTATCCGCAGTCTGGTTTTCTAACGAACGTTTATATTGGCTCTCACATTGATATCCGCCTCTACACATTCTGAGCATTCGGAGTAGATACAACATAGGAACATAGACTAGGCAGATCATCTCACAGCGGTATCCATCCAAACAGACGAATCCCTACCTGATATTATCGCATGGTTTCCCTATTTGTATAATCAGATCGTACAGATTCTTGCGTTTTGCGTCAACAAAGGAAGGTGTAGCACAATCTAAATCAGGTTTACGGTTGTCTGCGAAAGCTTGCGCGACTTCGGCGGCAAATACCATTGCATACATCCCACAATCAGAACCTTGCGTGAGAAAAGTTTAAAGCGCAATTGTGCATTGAGTACAAAGCCTTACTTGCAGGCCTAAAATGTTAAACGAATATGCAAATGGAATCACGCATGTGTATTTTAACGCATACGTTTTTGAATCTAAATGTGGTTTTATAATTTCTAGTAATCCGTTCTTATACCGTTGCCTGGGGTACTTATACGAAGGGCTATAAATGGCTCTAAATGTAACAGATTGTTACCATACCATTTCTTTGTTGGGGACATGTTGCCTTGATGATCTCAGCGTATCTGTCCAGAGATGGATGAAGCTTGTTGACTAAATCAACTGCTGGTTTCCAATTGTTGTGGCGCATGGAATCATAGTGAGTGAAGACATGCTCGCGTCTGTCAAATACCAACAAACTCCTAGCAAGTGTCAAATGCATAAGAGGTGAGCAGAACAGCAATTTTACAATATTAATGAACACTTTCTTTTGGGATTCGCAAACAAGTTGAAGGGAAACGTGGTTGGGTGATATACTTAGTTGAATGTTGTGCACAGTAGGATGGATATCAGAGAATATAACTAACTATAAGGGGGTTGGAGGGGAAGGGGTTGCGATCAAATTCCATCAAATCCACTCTCGCTCGTACTGGTTAGGCACATTGTCAGACGGGTTTCCAATCAAGCCTTTAGACATCCCTCAATCATACGTATCATACCAATGGCTACCACCGGCGGCCATGCTGTAGTCGATATTGTTGTTGAGCGGTAATAGTATTAGATCACGCTCGTCTAAACACATTGCGCTAACGAACTGCTCTACCTCAGTTGGTACTGTGAGTGAGCCAATCAGTTGAACTACCACTGGACTCACAAAGCATATGGCTGGGTACTCAGGGTAGACCTCATTCTGTAGGAATCTGTTCGAAGATTGATAGTGAATACGACATTTGTTATCCTGTCTCAAATTTATATTGTTTAACTTCGTATGACGGTATGCGTGACGCACTGTACTGGATAAGTAAATAATATTGAAATTCGCATGCGAGACAGCAGCGGAAGCCACTAAATCGAGAGAGTGTGTGTGTGCGCGATCCGAACTACACTGTGTAAGTACATTGCACTTCAACACTCTTGAAATATATGCAGCAGGTGTCAGCATGCAAAGTACTACTAATGACCTTTTCTGTAGGCAACGGTCTGCTTTGAGTCGAAAAAATATATATGCGTCAGTATTAATATGTGGTACTGATATGTGTCTGTTTCATAATATTGGGAGGCGTCCAGTGTTAGTGAAACGGGCCACTAGTGGCTGTGTACCACAAGAATCAAATAACAAAACATGACATTTGTGGTAATTACTACCGGTTCTGCTGCTTTATCTGTCATGAATAACCAACCAGAGAACAAGAATACCTGATGCAATCCATTTTTTTTACCATTAGCGCCATTATTGGTTTGGTACGGCTTGCAGTAGGAATATAGGTAGAAAAAGATTTAGCCGGCAGATAGTGTAGCGCGGTAGTCACTTTCAGATCATATTCAGTAAAGTAACTCACTCGAAGTAAAAGCTGATCACGCGATCACCTAGCCATTGATGTTTTCCCAGACTCTTCAAATCCTCGACGTAGACCACCGTGTCACCATATTGGACTGCCTTCATTGTATGGATAGAGAGTTGTCAAATTGTGAAGAAAGTATATTTTTCTCTATGCACAAAATTCACCAGAGCATACATAGAGACAATCTCTTGTGTTGTCATTGTTTATATATTTTAGTTAAAAAATAGCGAGTACATAAACATATGTAAATTCATAGCCTTCTAAATTAGACGGTAAATTATCAATATGTAATATCATTTACTGATGTAAATACATATAAATGGTCATATAAGTACAACTATTGATTAATTTTATTAAAAAATAGATGTATTGGTTTGTTACATAAATTCATCCTCTGGATTCTTGAGTCTCTGCCTCTCGCTGGTCTTCACTAAATATCTGTCTACACTGAAACTCTCACGAGAAATTTTAAATGCCAGAGAGTGGATCAGTGGAAGGTAAAAGCCGGAGCCCCGGACTGCCTGTCCAGTGTCCACTGTCCAGGGCCCCAGGGCCCAGGGCCCCAGGCCCAGTCACCAGCGCGGTAGTGCCCCACAGCCTCACAGGACCACAGGGCAGTGAGACAGTGAGGGTACAACAAGTGACAAGAATTAAGAGTGACCCAAGTTCCCGTGTGACTGTGTGAAAAATATCTATTGAACAAAACTGATACAATAACAAAAGTCAAAGCCAAGAGAGCGAGACCTAAGACAAAAAGACAAAAAGACAAAACACACACGGCGGCACCAGTAATATTTAAAATATAATAAAAAGAACTAAGAAGTAAGAACATTATGTATTTTAGTATTTAGAACAACATAGGAGTAAAAGTCCTAAGGACTCAAGGTCCAAGGAGACCCGAACACCAACAGGCGTACCCAGTCAATACTGTTCACGAATCATGTGATCAGTAGGATCACAAGATCCTGCCAATTGATTGGACAAGTATCCCTGGCAAATGGCAATCGTCTATGTACTGACTCTACTCTGTAGTCTGTAGTCTGTAGTCTGTAGCGTACTTGTATGTAGTCGGTACTAATACCAAAATCGAATGAAATATCAAATATTAATATGTCGTGTCAAGATTCAATACTTCAAGCCTTCAAGGCTTCAAAGCTGACTACTTTCGTAGTCGTACTGAGGTGTGTTCGGGGTGATACTTCAATATATCTGTAGAGTGCAACAGTGTACGCAAATACATTATCCTTGCTATACAAATGTCACCATATTCGAGAATACTGATTAATTCATTACATACTGGATTATATCACGTGTACGTGGTAGAGGTCGAGGCGGAGGCCAGTGCGATCGCAATCGCAAATGGGGTAACCAGCCGCAGCAGCAGCCACTGCTGTCGTACCTAGAGAAGCTGAAGGCAGGCACTGAGAACATAAACAATAAGGACGATGCCGCGCGACTCTTCCGTATGTGTGTCAATGCATCAGACCCAGCGGTTGCGGATCGCTTTATTTTGCTCTTCGACGATACTCTTGGGTAAATGCTTGCAGGCTGCTATGCGAATCGTGTACCCCGACATCGAAAAGGTTACGCATCTGTTGTCTCCACTGGGCGAAGAAAAAAAATGTGCCATGGCCTGTATGCCGATAAGGTGACGATGGTCTTCAAGACGATCTATCAGGTGAACGAGTTCATGAATATGCTGGTCGAGCGCCTCGATGAATTTGGCGTCAACACTTTCGTGAGTGATCCAGCTGCGATCACATGGTTTTTGCTCAAGCTTAGCAATGTAGAAAAAGTACGTCACGATGAGCGTGTGTTGCATATCGAGCGAGCGCTGAGGGAGAGTTCCGTGGCTGGAGCCAGTGAACTAGCAACTATGTTTGCCAGTGCAGAGTCAGACTCGCAGAAGAGACCCGGTGAAGATACAGGTAAAAAATGCCCAAAAGTTTAAACTTTCGAGTTTGATGTGTATACCTGTAAAATAGCCTTGGTTTAGGCTTTGAAACTTCAGCTTCCGTTATGTAGAATGTCGTAGAATACTGCATTTGACTGCCATTGACTCGCATCGACCTCATACCTCATCCTGTCAGTCATGCAGGGTTAGACACCCACACCAGTGATTGATGAAGGCCAGGCAAATCGCTCGAAATGATACACTTAAAGTCATGATCGTCACTCCTTGATACTAACTTGGTGCTGATTTGTGACACTTTAACGTATATAGTAAATTCCCTGGACGCCGCGAAGCGAGCGATGCGACCGCCCGGCGTTCGTGATCACGACAATGACAAGTTTGACTTTTGGGAAATTGAAGTTGTTCCCACATCAAGGTACAATATTTTACCGAAGTGTCGACAAAGAAAATATTTATATAAGTACCTGTGTTATGCTTACAATCTTTTTTTACATCACCCTTGTAGTCGTCCTTGCTGTGAAGCTATACGTTCAAGGCTTGGTAACGCGCACACAAACATACGAAACATTTTTTCAGCGAGATCAACTGCAATGAGGAGCCGTATCTGCCACCTGCGCACGGCAACCCCGCCATCACCAACCCGGAAGCGTCGCTCATTGATTGCAATTTTCGACTCGTGCGTCAGGTGTGCAGTTGAATTTTGTGAGTTTTTATCAGTTGTTGCACCGTTCCTTAACAAGTGATATGCTACAGTTTGTTGTATTAGGTGTAGTTGATCCAAGTTTTATGAAACTAGTTCTATCGATCTTATGTTCATCAGATGAGTCCAGTTTCTCCAAGCCTGTCCCGGGTAGACGAGTCTGCTAGTAAAAGTCTACATGCTATCACTTGCAGATTCTGAGATGAACTTATGCAAACATCACTTTGCTATCCTTCTAACACGAGTAGGACTTACTGGAAACCTTGCGCACCGAATTGACTGAGGAGTTACAAAATGGGCTCACTGGCAAGGGGCGTGGTGGCAACAGAGTCTACGCTGATCCACAAATTGAAGGGACCGGTATGTACTCTATTTGGTTTTTTACAGTGAAAATTGTGATGATACTCACCCATGAATTCTTCTTTTTCAGTGCTGCAATTTCGCATGGGTAGTAATCATATTTGCATTGTAAATTGTTATCAGACAGTAGCAGACTGAAAATATATCGTACAAGCTCGAGTTGGCCCGTGGCTGACGTACATATGGGAACGGTTGGTGCTGAATTCTGTGCGCAAGCAAAATCTATACATACGTATTTACTCCTCCTTACACTTCTACAAATACTTCATGTATGTTTCCATTTCTAGCGAATCAAAAAACAGGTTGCAATCCTAGAAATCTCATTTTTTTTAAAAGCTCGCCAGCAATTCCAGCTGCACACAAAATTCTGCAGATACTCTTGTCCGAGAACGCGCTTTCTCTCTCACTCACACAATACATATAACACGTGAGAATAATATATTTGATACAATTCTCCTACTTGTCGATCAAGATCTTTTCCTAAGCCGCATGTGACATTGCGAATGCGAATGTCTCCGCAACTGCAGGTGCGCACGCAGAAGCTCAAGCCAAAAGAGTTGAACGCATTCTTCAAGGATGGTCCTGGCAGGCAAGTGTACGGTGGTAGTCAGTGTACACACTTCGCTTGTGTCTATCTGTCGGTCGGTATCGATCGGTGTATATCAGCTAGTGCGTTAAGCCGTTAACGGTGTCTCCGCGCCTACTGGTCGTGGTTGATTCAAAAACTGGCAGGACCTACACCAAAGCTGGAGCGCACGAGGAACTTGTTGAGAAATGCGATGTTTCTTTGCGTATTTGACGAATTTCAATTCGACACTCAATTTAAAATCGACGATTACATCACCTATAGGCGAGTATTTTCTCACCACACGCTTGTGCCTGTGCTTAAGGCGAAGGAGGATGAAGACAATCCCGAGTTTGGGTTCTCAGCGGATGTGACAATGAATACGCAGACACCCTGGCGAAAACGAGACCCAATAGAGGCCGGGTGCAGGTGTGTCAGTTTTCCTCCAAGTTAGGTGTAAAGTATGCGCGTTTGACGCTGTGCATACATGAAATGTGTGTCAGAATGAGAAATATTAATGAGAAGTTATAAAACTTGTGGGTGGTGGCAAGTGTGGGACAACTTGAGACAATACATACCGAAGTAATGAGTCACGGTGTGCGCTCACCTCGTATTGCAAGTATATGCTGACTAGAGGTCGATTGTAGATACAGGTCATATTGCAAATGTATGCTGACTAGAGCTCGATTGTAGATACAGATCGTATCATATATGGATGAAGCAATTCGGGATAATTAGTTGTATATGTACCACCAATTTAGAGTTTGGGTGCATGGATCCAGACTGCGCTTGGCATCAGATTGTCAGTGTAATCGGGATAGGTTAGTACAGCAATCGGGGTAGGCAGAAAGCGTGCGAGTCGTAGAGCATATGGAAACCCTTATTGGGTTGCCGACTGGTACGACGATTTAGAGGATTCCGTGCAAGGTATGGGGGCTTCCTGACATTCACATGCAGCTCGTGCATCAGCGAGTGATTGGGGACGTAGATTGTAGTCTGTTCATGTGCTGTGAACAGATGCGTAAGATAAGATAAGCAAATTATTTTGGTTTTAACATCACCAGAGTTCAAGAAATAGTATGCACCATAATGTATTTGTATACGAATGTACGCAGCGCATAGCCTGTATACACGTGTTTAACACATATACACTATGAATATGAACACAGGTGGTGGCTGTGGGTAAAGTGGAGAAGCGAGACGACATTGTATGTAAAGGTGACCGCGTATGTCTGCAAGTGGGCGTCTCATTCGTTGGAGAGTCGCAGTATAACATACTCATGGCTATGACTAAAGCTAAGGGACGGGATCGGAAGGTATAGTAGTAGGAAACCAACTACTTTTACTTTGTGCATGTGTACATTAAAGCTTGCGTACTTGTTCGTGGTAATCTTAACTTCCGCTTTCGATACCAGCCTGAATACTGTACGGAATATGTACAGAAAGAATAGTTCAATGTGCATTATAAAAACTGTTGAGAACATAGCCTATCTTTCGAGATACCTGTTCAATAAAACGTTGTCAAATCAATACATGCAAAGTCACCCAACACGGACTAAAC